TCAATCCATATCTGCCAAGTGACCCTATGTAGGGGGAACAGTCTCTATTCTGCTCTGTGTCAGTGTGTATCAGGGGCTCTGAGGACAGGTGTCAATCCATATCTGCCAAGTGACCCTATGTAGGGGGAACAGTCTCTGTTCTGTTCTGTGTCAGTGTGTATCATGATCTCTGAGGACAGGTGTCAATCCATATCTGCCAAGTGACCCTATATAGGAGGAACAGTCTCTATTGTGCTCTGTGTCAGTGTGTATCAGGGCCTCTGAGGACAGGTGTCAATCCATATGTCAAGGTGTCAATTTGTCATATGTCAGGTGTTAATCCATATCCATTGTGATTTAGGAATGTTAGGTGATTTCTGCCCTTTATGGATTAAGACCAGACTCTGCATCAACTGTGTAATTTTCCATGGGAGTTTTGCCATGTATCCCTCTCCGGCATGCCACAGTCCAGGTGTTAGTCCCCTTGAAACAACTTTTCCATCACTATTGTGGCCAGAAAGAGTCCCTGTGTGTTTTAAAATTCGCCTGCCCATTGAAGTCTATGGCGGTTCGCCCGGTTCGCCCGGTTCGCCCGGTTCGCCCGGTTCGCTGGTTCGTAAGCATTTGCGGAAGTTCGCGTTCGCGACATCACTATTGGATGGTAATTGTGGTTGAGGAAGTGGGCAAGGAGTTAGCCTTAGTTAAACAATCTATACAAACCTTTGAACTAGCTCACGTATCTGTACTTCAAGCACCGTCATCTAATGAACTAATCCTTAAATTACAAGACGATATACAACGATATCAGAATGACCTTATTCTCTTCAAGCAACAGAAATTGGAAAAGGTTAATCAAGATTATAAATACCATCAGGTATATCGGTGGCTCAGTGGTTCTGAACCCACTAGATATACATATCCAAGATTTAAACCACGTATACGCAAACCTTCCTTTCAAACGATAGATATGACTTCAGGGGAGTCAACATCTGATGTGGAAAGCAAAGAGGCATCGGATACATCTAAAGCAGTATCTTTTTTAGACAAAGGTGCACATACCAACGATCCACCTGGGGGATCAGAAACACGCATCCAAGGCGCAAAAGGAACCAGCCCATACGAAGAGGGCAGAAGAACCAGAAGAAATATAAATTACAACGCCAAACCTCCTATAAAGAAGCGATGACGCCTGTATACAATCTGTCCAATAAAGAGTTGAATCCACACCATTTATCAGTCCTTAATAAGGGACTTACATTTATCCCGGTCTGTAAACCAGACCCTTTTCAAGTCGAAATAGAAATTTATAAGCTTCAGAGAATCTTATGTTTGAATGAAATCCGGAAAGATACATTTAAAAAGACGCATGATCATCCATTCACATCAAGGAGCAAAAAGGAGATATATAGCACCAATAGTTCAATCAAATCATTTACCCAAGCAGTTCATAAAGACATATCACAAGTAGCTCGGAGTCCGCCTAAACATAGATACAACTTAACAAAAGAAGAAAAATCAGCACTAATGGATTTAATGCATGATCCTTCAATAATTATCAGGCCAGCTGACAAAGGCGGTGCAATAGTTATTCAGGCGTATGCAAAATATAAATTGGAGATTCTCCGCCAGCTTAATGATGTAACGACATATCGCAGATTAACATTTGAGCCTATACATAAATTTCAAAAAATCATTGAGGAACATATTAGCTTTGGACTACATGCAGGATACCTGGATCAGAGGACAGCTGCTTATCTCTATGTACCGTTTCCTAGGCACCCAGTGCTCTACACACTCCTGAAGTTGCACAAAGATTCTACAAATCCACCTGG